TGTCCTATTAAGGTCTCTGAGGGGCTTCATTGGGGATCTCTGGTGGTCATCTGCGTCTGGAGCCCCCAAAGTTCTGAGTGACTGCCTTATGACCTTCTTTAAGACAATACCCCTGGTTCTACATCAACCCAGCATCGCCTGCTCAGCTGCTTCAGCTCCTTTCTTCATTGATTCCCCACCTTGCTTGGCTGCTTTCTTTCAATCAAAGCACAGGAATTTTCTCTGGGACCTTCTGCTGCAAACACTATGAGTTCTTGTTCCATCTCTAAACCCCAAGATCCCGTTGCAACAAGTGCCCAGCCCCTCCTCCTGGAGAAAAGGTGTGCACAGGTTGATGATGTGTTCTGTCAGGAGCAGGGAAGAGTTCAAAGGCTGTGCAGTATTGGAGGAGCTGAGGTGGATGCAGGTGGGTGGGTTTAGAACCAGGTTTCTGGGACCGTCAGCACTGAGAATGAGGTGCCTCAGACCTGGTGGCCCACAAAAGCAGGACTCTGCTTCAGTCTCCACCCTTCAGCATCACCACCAAACCCGGAATCAACACTTTAACAGCTGTAGACAGCCCTGAGCAAGGTCTGTCTGCCAGGAGAGAGTGCAGCAGCAGAACACAGCAGACCCCCTAAAAGAAAGGATGAGTGCTCCTAGTGGGGGACTGCGTTAAGGGCCACTGAGGCACTCATCTGCCAGCCCTGCAGGGAGTCACCAGAGGTCTCCCCCCTTCTGGCAGCTGAGCTCAGAGAGGTTGCTGAGAGGGTGCCACAACCTGTCAAGAGCTTTCCCAAACCAAGGGAAGGTGTCCCCTGGCCCCCTGGGAGAAAACCAAGGTGGCAGCCATTCCCATGCTGCTGACTCCATGTGTTTGCCCCAGACAAAGGCAAAGGGGCAGAGGGCTCCTGCAGCAACTCTTTCCCTTCCTCCAGCCCAGAAATCTGTGGGAAAATGGGGACAAAAGCTCCACTGTGCTGGGGGTTGTTTCTGTGTGGCAACTGGGGCTTAGCCACGGGCAGCTCTGCAGTGGCTCCTCTCTCTCTCTGGGCACTGTGGGGTGGCTCCAGAGCTCTCCTTTTGGGCTTGGCTCAGGGCACTGGGGGTTACCCCTGCTGCTCCCTTCCCCGGGGCTGCCTCCCACACCACTGCTGTCTTCCAGCTCCCTCTCAATTCCTCATTTCACTGCTTTGTTCAGCTCCACCTGTTTGGAGCTGTGGCTCCAAGGGATGAGGAGGGGACTGCTGGTGGTGGCAGGGTCTGGATCCACAGAGTTTGATCCTGATACCTTTCTGCTGGAGAGTGGGAGCAAAAATGACACACTTCTGGATTCTGGTGCTCGGCCTTTCCTGCCAAAAAACACCCCCCAGATGTGACATGGATGGTATTGAACATCCAGTGCTAAAACTCCACCTCCTATCTCTGAATCCAGGATATTACCAACCCCTTAGTCTATACCATCCACATCCTGCTCAGGTTTAACCCCTTTCAACTATATCCATAGGACTCTAAACAAGCAAAGGTATTATTTCAGTAGTCACAGACCATCCCCCAAGATGTTGGCTGAGTTCATTTAGTCCATCACTGGTGTAACTGGAGCAGTCCATTCTCATTCTCCATGGCACTTACATATGCAATTCAACAGTACAGGCTGCTCTCACCAAAAATCAAATCCCCTTGAGGTACAAATTGTCTTTCCCCATCCCTCTGCATCAGTCACCAAGTCCCTGAGCAAAACCAATCCCACAGACGGCTTTGCCTTTGCTTGAGGCAGGACTGATCCAAAGTGTCGTCTCCAGCACCTTTCTCATGTGCACCACAGGGACTTTATCCCTTTCTGTGCAATGTGGGGGTTCTGACTGGGCAGGGCCAGCTGGGTTGGTGGAGGCTGGAGTGTGAACTAACCAGGTGGCCTTCTCGAAATGTGGATTCCAGTGTTTGAAGGCCTCACCACTCATTGCTTTCCATGTGGTTTTTAACAGTCCATTGTACCATTGCACTTTCCCAGAGGCTGGTGCACGACAGGGAATATGATCCATCCACTCCATCCTGAGCTCTCTGCCCAGGTGTCCATGAGGCTGTTTCTGAAAGGAGCCCCATTGTCCCATTCAGTTCTTGCTGGGGGGCCACGTTGCCCCAGGACTTGCTTTTCCAGGCCCAGGACGGTGTTCCAGACAGGGCTGTGAGGCACAGGATGTGTCTCCAGCCATCCAGGGACTGTTCCCACCACTGTCAGCACACAGCACATACCTTGGTGGGTTTGGGGAGTCTGATGTGATGTGATGGGATCACTCTGCCAGGCCTCCTCAGATTTTGATTTCAGCCATCATCCCCCACACCACAGAGGCTTTACCTGCCTGGCCCTGATTGATTGCAGCACATGATTCACAGTCATGGATAACCTGGGAGATGGTTAATTCCCCTTGGTCATGAGCCCATCTCTATGTTGCATCTCTTCCCTCATGACCTGAGGTGTCATGGGCCCATCAAGCCAGAAATAGTTCACCCTTATGTTGCCAGTCCAGATCCACCTCAGACACTTTAATCTCAGCAGCTTGATCTGCCTGTCTGTTGTTGGGATGTTCTTCAGTAGCCCGACTTTTGGGTACCAGCCTCAGTGCTGCCCCAGTCCTGCCCCTGCCCCAGGAGCTTGCACACATCCTGGCCAAGGAGACCCCCGTTCCCTGGGGGAGGGTGCACGTCAGTGGGTGGGGGCACATCTGCAGTGCAGACACCTGGACCTGAGCCTGGCAGTCCCTGGGGCTGCAGGAGCAGAACAGGCAGGTCTGGGCACAAACCAGTGCAGACCAGGAGAGATGTTACCCCAAGACCCAGAACCCGAGACCCCAAATTCCTGTTTCTTCCTCCATGCAAAGGAAGGGGCCAAGGATGTCACCTCAGGTGTCTTTGGTGCTGGTGGTGGCTCAACAGATCAGCACGAGAAGTTCAGCTGAGGGTGTGGCAGCCACTGAATCCCAATCCATGACAAGCCCAGGCTGGGACAAGGTCCAGGTGTTTTCCCCCTACTTCTTTCAAAGCAGAAGCAGCATGGGAGTGTTTTCCCCTCAAGAAGGGAAAGTTCTCCTTCCTCTTCCCTCCTGAAACTCACCTCTTCCACTCATCTCCTCCACCTCATTCACCAAGGTCTCACTCTCTTCTCTCTCCAGCCTGGATGCCAGCACATGTACAGAAAAACAACAGGAGGGCAGGAAGGATTCCCTGTTCAAAGTCCTGATGGCAGGACTCTGAGACTGCCTAAAGATGACAAAGCAGAGAAGCAAGGATGGAAAGGTCACATTAATTCTGGCACTTTTTAGACAGTCAGCACTCACCTGCAGGTTGGCTGCAGGAAGGGAGGTTTGGGATGAGTTGGCAGGTCTTCAGTCTGCTCCCCACTCCCCATATCTCCTGCTCAGCTGCTGGCTGGACTGAGCTTGCCCAGCACTTGCAGCTTGTTGGAGTGAGCAGAGCACAGTGCAGAGGGGCTGGATGGCCTGGAGAGCCCAGCTGGGACTGGGAGTGTGTCTGGGGGACCAGCCCATGGAGCTTCTCCCTCCCCTCCTCTGGGGAATGGCCCCCCCTGCCCTGAAGCTTCCAGCCCTCGTGTGACCTCATCTAACACTTGGATTTGGCTGCTCTTCCAGCTCCTGCAGTGCCCAGCCCTGTCTGCAGCACAGGCTCTGCCACAGGGCCCCTCCCTCCTGCAGCTGCAGGGGGGTGATAAAGCCCCTGAGCACTGCAGGAGCTGCTGTCCTTTGCTGTGCACATCTGTGTCACTGGGCCCATCCCTTGCTGCTTCCCTCTTTGCCTTGTCACCCCTTTTGGCCAGGGCCCTGATCAGCTCCCTTTGCCCCAGCAGGTGCCCCCAGGCCTGACTGGGCTGGGAGGGTGTGGAACCCACAGGGCTGAGCGCCCACGGGCACTGCCTTTGCCTCCTTCAGGGCAGCAGCTTTGCCTCAACCAACCACCCTCCATGGCCTTGCCTCTTGGCTGCCAATTGCTTTTAAGCAAGAGTGAAGCTGCTGCTGCTGGGCTTTGCTCCCACCCACTGCCTTTGGATGTGAATCCTGGCTCCATCACCTCCCTCCTGCCCAAATGGCCTCTGGGCTCATGCCAGGGATGTGCAAAGTGCTGCCACATCTGTCCCCTCCTGAGCCCAGGGAGCAGCCCTGGAGAGCCCCTGCAGCAGGGGTGTGCCTGGGCATGCTGCCAGAAGGGCATGTCCAGATCAAAAACTCCCCAAATTACTCAACAACTTTCACTTTTGACAGGAGGCAGCGCCAGAGAAAACAGGTGTCAGGCTGGGATGGGGTGATAATTTTTTTGGTTTTCAGACAGCTCAGCTGGGATTGGGGGGCCCCTCCAACACTCTTCGTGACAGTCAAGTAGGTCCTGCTCCAGCCAGAGCCCAGGACAGAGCTCAGCGTCTCCAGGTACGTGGCATCTTTTGGGAAAGATGGGATGGAAATTGCCCTCTGCCATCTGCCAGAACCAGCTCTGCTTTCCATGTCCTGTTAGCAAAGTGGAACCAAGTCAGTGGCAAAAAGGGGGGTGGGTGGGAGAGCAGAGCAGAGCCAGGTCCTGTCTCGGCTGGGCCTTGGATGAGTGTTTGGACTCTTTGGCTTCCCTTGCTCCAAAGCCTTCTCCCACTCTCAGGGAGGTGCAGGCAATGAGTCCTGACTCGCTCAGGGTTTGTCCTTCTCGTCCTGCCCCTGTGCATCTCTTTCTTAAGGCTGGATCAGTAAAGCCAGGGCTCCATAGGAAAACAACTGCCCCTTTCTGCTGGAATTGGAGGAGATGGTGCAGCTTGTCCTCTGCTTTCCCATGGGAAATTCCCACCACTTCTGATCCCAGTCAGGTCCTTTGCCTATAAAGCACTAACCAAAGTCAGTCTGATGAGGGAAAATTGATTTCAACCTTCAGCATCCAAGTTTCTTCCCTCGACATTCCAGAAAGGGCTGAAATCAGCAATGAACCCCTTGCAAAGTGAATTCATCCTGCTTGGTTGGTTGGTTTGGTTGTTTTAAATTCCCTTGTTTGTCTTCCCTTTTGCCCTTTGCCTGTCCTTCCCCATCTCCAGGTTGTGCTCCAGGGAGGAGGATGCTCTGTGGTTCCCCCATCCACTGCTCTCTGCCGGCTTTTGTCATTTCCACTTTAGTTTTCCAAGTTCCTCAGGGGCACTCAGGTAAGAATCCCCCTGTTCTTGCTGGATGCTGTGCCATGGCTTCCAGGTGGAACATCTTGCTGGCTGCCAGTGCAGCAGCTCGCTGGGAACAGCAGAGCAGAGAGCAGGGTCAGGCCCTTTCCTTTGCTGTTTGGTGTCCAGGCTGTGCTGCAGGGCAGGGTCCCTGTGCCAGCTGCCCTCAGCCCCTCGTCTGCCCCGGCACAGGGACGCTGCCAGCGCCATGGCCCGGCCCGGCAGCACCCCAACCACGCGCAGCAGCCGCTGCTGTGTCCCAGCTCAGCTGCCTCAGCAAACTCACACTTCTCTCTTCTTCCTACGGGGTCTCTCCCAGCTCCACTCACCGTCACTGCACCCCCCGGCCCCATCACCGTGGCCAAGGGCGAGGACGTGGTGCTGCCCTGCCGCTTCTCCCCGGGGCAGAATGCACAGGACACGGAGGTGACCTGGTTTCGGGAGCACTTCTTGCCCTTTGTGCATCGCTACAAGTGGGGCCAGGACCAGTTTGGGGAGCAGATGGTTCAGTACCAAGGGCGCACTGAGCTGGGGAAGGACGGCCTTGCCAAGGGCAGCGCGGACTTGAGGATCTTCCATGTCCAACTCTCTGACACAGGGAATTACACCTGCTTTGTTCGTCGTGGCTCAGATTATGATGAGGCTGTGGTGGAGCTCAAGGTGACAGGTCTGTAGTTTGTGTCCCTGGTACCTCTAATTTACTTGCTCACAGCCAGTGCTCTTGTTCCCTGTCCTTCTGCCCAGAAACAGTCTCAGGTGGTTGCTTTGGAAACAGTCCCATTAAGTCCCCTTGTTGAAAATACCAAGAATGTTTCACAGAGGTCAAACTGCCCACCGAGCAGCCATGAGGAACTCATAAGATGCTTCTTCCTTCAAAAGTGTTCTTGATATTGCTCCACCACAGCAGCACTTGTTTTGGAACTCTTGTTCTTGTTCTTTGGGAATGAACAAGTCCTGAAGACTTTATCTCCCTGGGGATGCATTACCTTTCTCCTGGTGATGCTGCTCTGCACTGGAATGTTGCTGTTGATGCACATGTCACCCTATTTGTGATCCCATATTGCCTAAGGAAATCTGATATTTTGGGGTTTTTTTTCCAAAAGAAAAGAAAGCATGATTTAACCAGAAGGCATTTCATTAGAAATCCATCCTCCCTTTAAAGATCCTACACAATGCAGAGAAATTTCATCAGCCTCAGACAAGTATGAAATTTCCAAAAATGATTGTTTTTAATGTCATTTTTTGTCCATTTGTTGAGCAGAGTCGGGAGCTCTTTCTCACCCTTAGTGTGAGTCAGACGGAACGACCTTGCACGAAATAGAAATAATTCCCTTTCTGTTGCTACTCACAAAGGAACCTCCCCTTTGGGGATTTAATTTTTCAGATCCCTTTCTACGAAGTATCTATCCTTGGATTATTGCCCTGGTCCTGGTCCTGGCTGCTGTGGTCGCTCTGATTTGCTTTGCAGTTTATCTACTTAAAATTAAAGGTACTATCCTGGGTTTGGGGGCTGGGGAAGGGGCTGGGCAGCCATCCTACTCAGCCACCTCCAGTCCTGAGGGATGAGGGGGTTGAGAAACACCAGGATGGAACCAGAGTCTTGTCCTGGTGTCTCAGGCACATGTTTGGTGCCAGGGAACTTAAAAACCCATGACCTTAACTTCTGTCAAGAAAAGAAAGCTTTGTTCTCCCAGAAGAAGGCAAGGCAGGAAGTTGGCATTAAAGCAGCATCAGCTGCTCCTCTGCCCCAGCACAGAAATGGAGCAAGAATTGGCCTTGACCTGCAAAGAATCCCTGGCAGTTTGGGGGGCCTGGCAGGGCCTCCTTTCCTTCTAGAGATGGAGGAAGTTTTGGGGTAGCACATTTCATTGTGCAGGGGCCTCAGCTGTTCTGAGCACTGCAGAGCACAGGCACAGGGCCCTTAGGGAGCACTGCAGGGGACATTTCACCCCACGCTCCTCCCTTGGTGCTGCAAAGCTGCCCCTTCAGCGCTGCCCTGGAGCTGGAGCCCGTGCTCAGGTCTCCAGCAGCACGGTCTGATCTCTGCCCACAGCGGGCTCAGGGAGGGTGGGTGAGACCCCCAAAGTCTTGGGAAGACAGGTCCTGAGGAGCTCCTGGGCTGCAGCTTTTCCCTTGGGAGCAATTTCAGCCTCCTCCCTATACCCCACAAGTCTGTCCTGGAAAAGGATTTTTTGCAGCCTGTGGACAGAGAGAGTGAATTTGGGAATCCAAAATTCAAGGTGACTGAAGATGGTGCCTGGGGATGGGATCAGGTGGGAGCAGCAGTAGCAGTGGCAGGGTGGGAGTGCCCTGGTGCCCTTGGAGATGAGGGACCTGCCAGAGATCCTTTCCTGCCCCCAGGTTGAGCAGAACAAGCTGCCCCATGGGCGGGGGAGCAGAGCTGCAGGCTGGGGGTGGGACAGGGCTTTGCACTGCTCAGCCTTGGCACAAACCCGCCCTCCAGCCCGTGCAGGGGGTCCCAGGAGAGGGCAGACAGGGGATGGCCAAATCAATGGCCCACAACCCATTTGTGCTGCTTTCTCTTCCTTTTCAGAGGAACAAGCCCAGGAACTCGGTGAGTATCATTCTCTTCTGTTTGTGGGAGTCTTCTCAGTTGGGCATTTTTTCTCCCCTGTGTTTTTCATGTGTGCCCTCGTTTTGGGCACAGAACAAATACAGAACTTGTTTCAGAAACATTCTTTTCCATTGGTCTCTGTGTGGTTTTAGGCTCTTCCCTGTAATTGTTCTGTACTAAGAAGAAAATTCTTTCAGTTCTCAAAGTCCAAACTGACCATAAATGCATGTCCCAGTCAGGACAGGCAGCGTGATTGGATTTGTAGGAAATGGGTGGAGCCCTTCCATGTAGTCAGACACTGAAGTTTTGAAGCAACTCGCTGTGAGATGACTTTGACAAAGATAACAACAATTCAGAAAATGTGCACCTCCACTGGCATATCATTCCCCTGAGCTAACCCAGCCCCAGTGTGTTCCATTGCCTCTGACCTGTGGTTTTTGTGGTTTTTTTAAAGCCTGGAGAAGACACGCAGTGCCTATAGAAGCAGGTAACTAAGTCTGGTCTTTCCTGGTGCTGAATCATCTTGCCTGCTTTAATGGCCCTTCCTGGCAGTTCCCCTCCTGCAAGTGATGCTGCTGGGACCAGGCATGCTTCTGCTGAGCCTCCCTTTCCTTTGGTGCATGTCCCACTTCCAGGCAAATCTGGAGGATCCTTGTCCTCCGTGAGCTGTGCACAATTCTTCCTCCTGGAGCTCTGCTGATGATCCTCTTCCCTCTCTGCTCCCTCTCTTCTCTCTGCTTCAGTGTCTCTTCCTTGCACTGCTGTTGTCACCTTGTGCACCTTGCCATGCCACACTCTGCCAGCTCTCCCTCACCCCCTGCTTCTTCCTTAGGCAGCCCCAGCAAAGATGTGTCCTGGGCCGAGCTCTGCCCTGATGTGTTGATTCCATCTCTCCTGCAGGGAACGTGGTTCTGGATCCAGACACAGCCCACTGTGAGCTTGTCCTGTCTGACAATGGCAAACGTGTGACACGATCTTACACACAACAGGACATCCCTGACAGCCCTGAGAGATTTAACCCGTGGCGCTGCGTTCTGGGCTGTGAGGGCTTCAGCTCGGGGAGACACTACTGGGAGGTGGAGGTGGAGAATGCAGGAGAATGGATTGTGGGGATTTTTAGAGATGGTGCGGAAAGGAAGGGTGATATTGAGTTTAAACCAGAGAAAGGCATCTGGGCAGTGGGGAAAGGGGCAGTATTCTTGAAAGCTTTCACCTCCCCTAGTCCCACTCTGTTTCCTGAAATCAAGGCTCCCAGGCGGATCCGGGTCTCTCTGGATTATGAAATGGGACTGGTGGCATTTTTCAGTGTTGATGACGGGATTCCCATCTTCACGTTTCCACGGGTATCATTTGGGGGGAAAAAAGTCCACCCTTGCTTCTGGCTGGGTCCTGAGACATGTCTGAAAATATGTCCCTGATGAAGAGGAGGCAGTAAGAGAAGGGTCTCCAAGGGTGGAGATCTCGTTGCCTCTCTGCACCTCTGTTCCATGCTGCATCTCTCCAAGACCTTTCTCTGAGGCCAGACATGCTGTTCTGGTCCCAGTGCAGATCAGTGGGAGAGGCCATGGCCAAGACCTTGTGTTATGAGAGCACCTCACATCATTTCCAGGTGTGGGGAAAAGGGACTTTCTCTCCTGCTTCTGAGGGTGTTCCTTACACATGGAGGGTGGAACCATTGTTTCCTTGTCTCAGGCTGCAGTGGGTTGGTTTCTCGGATATTTTAGGCCTTCCTTAGCAACGGGGTCAGAAATCTAAGGAAGTATTCCATATCATTCCTTTCCGTAACCCAACATATAAAAAGGCGTAGATAAGAGAGTTCGCTCTCTTCTCTTCCGACAAGGTTTGGGAATGGTAGGTCCCTGTCTTGGTCTTGCTCATGTGGAGCTGAGGCCCACAGTGACTGCTGTTGTCTGCCCCACGTGAGGGGACAGTGCTGGGCCACGTCCAGCTGTCCTGCTTCTCTCAAGGGAAGTGGGGAGATTTTAACAGTTCTTTATTTTGTTAGTTACCAGATTTCTAGATTGTGCATACCTGTTTTGTTTTTGTCCCTTTTGCACCTTTTTCCCATTTTCCCTTCGCCTCTCCCCTTTCTTGGGAGTTGTACATAATATTTTTCTGTATATAACTGTACATATGTAAAAATAAACATATATTTTGATATAATTCGGTTGGTTTTGGTTTCTCTCAGTTTCTATAATTTTTTTCCCTTTCCTTTTTTTGCTCAAAAGGGGAGGGAGGGGAAGGGCTTTTGCTGAGCATTGGAGATTTTGGTGGGAAGCCAGGTCAAACTCGCTCACAGGCTCAGTGAGCATTTGGCATGTAAATCACCCTCTCTCTGTACACTTCTCTTATTCGTGTTGTTGCTGTTCCTGTTGGTTTTATGATCTCATTGCTGTTTCCAGGGAATTGTTCTTCTCTCCACCCATGATCTTTGCCTTTTGTGCTTTCAACCAGAGGTGGGGGCAGGGGGAGTGAGCAGCATCTGCTTTGGGAGAGTCTGGGTGGGAGCACTTGATTGGGGAGCACCATTCCTAAAACACCACACATGCTTTCACAGCAGATCCTCCATTCCATGGAGATCCAGCAGGCCTGGACCTTCCCAAGGGAAGGCTTCACCCCAACAGAACTGCCAAGGAGGGAGACTTCAGTTCAGTGCTGGTGGGTTTGTTGCCTAAACTCAGCTCTTGAAAGAAACCTCCAAGACCAAATTTGGGAGTTTGAGAAGCCAGGCATTCTTTTATCAGGGTGCACTGAAGTGACTCCAGCACGCCGGGTGCCCTGGGAATCAGTTCCCAAAGTGCACCCAGAGGGATCCTCACCACAGCTGATATGTCAGCATGACATAATTATTCATTTTGTGTTCCTCACATTCCTGTTCCATATTCATGACATTTCTCAACACTTCTTAGCATGCATACATGTCCTATTAAGGTCTCTGAGGGGCTTCATTGGGGATCTCTGGTGGTCATCTGTGTCTGGAGCCCCCAAAGTTCTGAGTGACTGCCTTATAACCTTCTTTAAGACAATACCCCTGGTTCTACATCAACCCAGCATCACCTGCTCGGCTGCTTCAGCTCCTTTCTTCATTGATTCCCCACCTTGCTTGGCTGCTTTCTTTCAATCAAAGCACAGGAATTTTCTCTGGGACCTTCTGCTGCAAACACTATGAGTTCTTGTTCCATCTCTAAACCCCAAGATCCCGTTGCAACAAGTGCCCAGCCCCTCCTCCTGGAGAAAAGGTGTGCACAGGTTGATGATGTGTTCTGTCAGGAGCAGGGAAGAGTTCAAAGGCTGTGCAGTATTGGAGGAGCTGAGGTGGATGCAGGTGGGTGGGTTTAGAACCAGGTTTCTGGGACCGTCAGCACTGAGAACGAGGCACCTCAGACCTGGTGGCCCACAAAAGCAGGACTCTGCTTCAGTCTCCACCCTTCAGCATCACCACCAAACCCGGAATCAACACTTTAACAGCTGTAGACACCCCTGAGCAAGGTCTGTCTGCCAGGAGAGAGTGCAGCAGCAGAACCCAGCAGACCCCCTAAAAGAAAGGATGAGTGCTCCTAGTGGGGGACTGCGTTAAGGGCCACTGAGGCACTCATCTGCCAGCCCTGCAGGGAGTCACCAGAGGTCTCCCCCCTTCTGGCAGCTGAGCTCAGAGAGGTTGCTGAGAGGGTGCCACAACCTGTCAAGAGCACAGACTGCTCTCCACTGCTGCTTTTCCATGTGGTACAAATGACACCCAAGCCAGAAGCTGGGCAGATTGAAGGGAGATTACAAAGCCCTGAGGGTGCAAGTGAACAATATCGGTGTCCAAGGTATCTTTTCCTCCATCTGCCCATTAGAGGAAAGGGGACAGCCAGAAACAGATGTTGAAAGCAAATCAACTTCTGACTTTGTGGCTGGTGCTGTCAGGAGGGTTTGGACTTTTATGACAACGGGACACTCTTTGATGACTGTAGTCTGTTAGGGAGGCATGGGATCCATGTGCCTAGAAGAGGCCAGGGAACCTTGGGCAGCAGGATGGCCAACTTGGAGGGCTGGGCTTTAATTGGAAGGTCTCAGGGGCTCAGGATCCAAAGGGGCCTTGTGTCTCCCTTCACATCCAGCTGGGAATAATCCAGGACATCCAGAGCAGTGACAAATGTTCCCTCCTGGCCTCCCAAGATGAGAACAGAAGGCCAGGCACCTCAGGGGTGTGTATGGCTGTGGGGCATCCTCTTGCCGCCCTCCTGGGAAACCTGCCTGCTCCATTCCCCCTGAACTGGCTGCAGACAACACACAGCTTGGGGAATGAGCCTGGGGAAGGATCAGAGATCTGTGTGCAGTCACGGGGCCATTAGTTCTCATAAAGCCCAGGGCTGGAATCCTGCTTATGGCCCAGCTTCCTCCATGCAGGATCCTGAGTTCCGCTGTGCATGGTCACTGCAGCCAAGGCTGTCCCCAGCCTTCACACCCCAACCAGTCCCTCTGTGCTGGTTAGTACAAGGACCAGCAGCACCTCTCCTTGTGAACTCCTCCACCACCCGTGGCACAGAGTGATCTCCTCACCCTGCAGGACCTCCTGTGCTGTCCCCCCAGCTGATATCAGGAAGGTTGAGGTCCCCCATGAGATGAGTGCCCGTGACCCTGAGGCCATTTCCAGCTTTCTGTAAAAGGCCTCAGTGACTTCCTGATCAGGTGGCTGGTAGAAAACAACCACAACAGTGTTATACATAGAATCCTTTAGGTTGGAAAAGCCCTCTAAGATCATCAAGTCCAACCACCAACCCAGCAATGTCAAACCCACCACTAAGCATGTCCCCAAGAGCCAAATCCACACAGATTTTAAAGCCCTGCAGGGTTGGTGACTCCGCCACTGCTCTGGGCAGCTGTGCCAGGGCTGGACAACCCTTTCTGGGAGGAAGTTTTCCCTGATATCCAACCTAAACCTCTCCTGGTGCAATTTGAGGCTGCTTCCTCTTGTCCTGTCCCTTGTTCCCTGGGAGCAGAGACTGACCCCACCTGGTTCCACCCTCCTGTCAGGGAGTTGTGGAGAGCAAGAAGGTCCCCCCTGAACCTCCTTTCCTCCAGGCTGAGCCCCCCCAGCTCCCTCAGCTGCTGCTGGTGCTCCAGACCCTTTCCCAGCTCCATTCCCTTCTCTGGACACACTCCAGCCCCTCAATGTCTTTCTTTGAGTTGGGGTCTCACCAGGGCCCAGCACAGGGGGATGGTCACAACCCGAGTCCTGCTGGCCGTGTCTGGCCTCAGAGAAAGCACTTACTGCCCTCCTCCACTTGCAGGGGGCAGCTTCCCCTACAGCAAAATCATCTGGAGTTGCCCATCTGGCAGTGCTGGGCATCCCCAGGGCACAGGTGAGCTCATCCCCGGGGTTTGTGCTGCTGGCAGGTGTGGGGACAAGCACAGCCATGGACCAGCCCCGCTGGCCTGACTTCCTGGGCTCCTGCAGGATGCACTGAAACCTTTTCTCCAAGTGCCTGCGACTCCCACAGGCTACAGGGAGGTGGGAATATCCCTCAGGGACAGCCTTGGTACTGACACACACACAGACAAATGCCACCAAAGGAACTTTATTGTGTACATTTACAAAGTGATCCCTTTTCGGTGTAATTGGTGTTCAAGAGGGAGAGAGAGAGGATGAGACACAACAACCATGGGTCGAGACTGGAGAAATTCTGATCACACAGAAAGGGTTGGTTTTTACCCTTGAGAGAGATGCAGCATTGGACCAGAGAGGTAATGAGACCTTTGCCCTTGGAGACCCTGCAACACTCAGCTGAACAAGGTCCAAAGACACTGAAGGCAGCCCTGAGGTTAACCCTGCTCTGAGCAGGTGGTTGCCACAGAAACCTCCACAGGTTCCTTCCAACCTCAGTCTTACTGTGAGTCTGAACTCCCCAGGTCCCTTAAAAAAGCCTTGTCTTCCTCCTTCCCTTTCATCAGGGATATATTTTCAGATATGTCCCAGGACCCAGCCAGACCCAAGGGTGGACTTTTATCCCCCCAAATGATGCCAGTGGAAATGCGAAGATGGGAATCTCCTCATCAACACTGAAAAATGACACCCGTCCCATTTCATAATCCAGAGAGACCCGGATCCGCCTGGGAGCCTTCATTTTGGGAAGGGGAATGCGATCAGGGGAGGTGAGAGCTTGGAAGTGCCCTGCCCAGTTCCCCACTGCCCAGATGCCTTCCTCTGGTTTAAACTCAATATCACCCTTCCTTCTCACATCTTCTCTAGACA